TTGTGTTTTTGTTTTTGTTTCATAAAGTTTGAATGTACCATTATTAGATAAATATTATTTTTTTTCTTTATAATAATACTAATAATATTTCTAATTCTTAATCTTGCAATTATTTACTACTGGTGAAATTCAGTGCATTCTTAAACATTTAAAATTTCTAAATTCCTATGTTTCTTTACGCTAACACTTAGGACAGCGGGTAGGACATCCTAACTAAGATAGCTTCGATGTGCATGCTGATACATGTCGTAAGTCGGTCCTAACATTATCCTAATTTATTCCTAAGAGAGGTCTTAGGACAAATCCTAGGACAGCTTCGATAAACAGGCCCCAGATGTTCAAGAATCAATGTTTATTTTAAGCTTCTCATATGAAGAAGCTTATTTTAAGCTTCTCATATGAAGAAGCTTATATCAGTAAAATACCCTGTTCCCATCACAAATCGTATAGTAATGCCCTGTTGTCATAGAATTTTGTAAATGGGTATTGCGGCTAACAAAAAATGAAAGGGTAGGTGGGGTCATATATATTCCTTTGCATCCAGTTTTTGTTTTCTTATAATAAAGAAAAGAAATTGCAATTTATAAAGGTAAACTTAATATGTTTTCTTACTTATTTGACAAATTTTTCCCGAAAGGTTTAGATTTATAATGTATATGTTGATGCACTATTCGATATGATTAATTAAAAAATGTCGCTGCCATTTGAAATTTCAAATACCAAATGTTTACTTTAGATAAATACAAAAATAACTGTGGGATAGTGCGAACATTACTCATACCTACTTAAAAGCATTTTTTTTCTGAAAATATCTCGATGAATTTTTCACTTCGGCTGTAAGATTCACATGAAGTACCATCAGTGACTGACAAATACTGATATTTACTCTCTAATCTCGTACTATTTGACATTTCCATGGATAAGCTATATCACTTAAGTTGATTACTTCATGAAGCCGAAAGCAACCACCGACATTACGCCGACTTTTATTTTCTTTTGAAAATAAAACCATTTATTTTTGATATACTTTATTTTTGCTTTAGATTGATAAGACTTAAATTAGATTTCATGATGTATTTAGAAGAAATTGATAGACGTCATGGTATGCGTTTTTTTGATAAAGTTATCCTCCCACTGATGATGCACTTAAGTTCTTTTAAGAGGGTCTGGATGGGGTCCTTTATGTATTTATTCTTTAATTTTGTAGACCATTTTGCTCTATTCATTATTTTGTGTTCTTTATTTTTCATTTTTTGTCCGTTATTCAACATGAATGAATTATTTGCTACTGGACGTTAAGGAACCAACGATCAAGCAATCTATTCTGTAAATCCTATCCAGACCCTCTGTTTAAAAGATTCAAATTTACATACCAATATAGCAGAAAAAGTCTGATTATTGTTTAACCCGAAATAAGTGTGTTATAAATAGTTCTGTTATTGTATTTGATAAGTAAGCAATCATTCATCGTACTGAAAGACAAACGTCAGTATGGCAAATATGTTGAGAAGGTAATACTCAAAGACTAGAACATGCGTCATACGTACTCGGAAACTGTGATCTGTTATTTTTTCTAGAAAAATACAATAATTTTTACTCTTTTAAGATATAATTCAGTATACAAAATGGTGAGGGAAAAAAATGAAAAGGAGAAACTTAAAAATTTTCTATTTCATTCTCTTGTTTTAAAACTGTTTTACATTTCCAAATTTTATTTTCACTGAAAATTGGATTATTCATAGAATTCTGTTATTATAGATAACAATTATATTTCCTACATTTATATCATTTCCCATAAACTATTTCATCATTTATTAATACGATTTTTACTACAATTATGCATTAATTCATAATAGAAACTACAATGGAAAGCTGTAAAAAAATGACAATTATTCTAGAAAAGACGACAACTTACATAGATAGAAGAGGGAATAAATTCGGCATGATTGGTTCTAAATACTTGAACAGAAACGCTTTCAGGGTAGCAACTAATTTGTTTAATCTGACTATTTGCTAAATAGTCGATTTTCAAATTACCAACTTTGTTTTCACTTGAATAATTTCTTGCAAGGGAAACAACTTGTACAAAATGGTTATACAAAGGTTCTCGGGACAGGTAGGAGAGGGTTGAACGCTCACAAACCCGTTTAACCCCGCTAAACTCTTTATTGCCTGTCCTAAGTCAGGAGCCAATGATTCAGTGGTTGCCGTTCGTTGATGTCTGTTATCTTTGTTTTTCGTAAATTGTATTGTATTAATTAGGCCGTTACATTATGTAGGTTTCTCATCTGAATGTTTCACATTTTACTTGTCGGGGCTTTTTTGTACATGTAGCTGACTATGCGAAGTGGCCTTTTCTAATTGTTGAAGGCCGTACTGAGACATATAATTGCTGTTATCTTCCGACTTCGTCATTTGAACTCTGGTGGATATTTGTCTCATTGGCAATCATACCACATCTCTTTATTTTTACTTGGTGTATTATACGGGATCAGACACTAATTTTGACGTCCTATATACATGTAATATTATGTTTATGGATAAAACAGATTGCAAAATAGATCTTTATGAAAGGAAATTCCTAATTCCTTATATTAATCAAAATGTGCTCAGATCAAAAGTTTTGTGTTGACAAGGAACGCAGTTTGCAAAACTTTAGAGAGCTGTTACTCTTCGCCAAAAATTGGAAACAAATTCGTTAATTTGGAAATAGAATATGTAAATTTGTTCACGATTCTAAGAACAGATTTAATCTACACCGAGTCATACTAAAATACGTACGTTTATTTGACATCGTTCATTTTAGCATCTACTCCGAGCCGTCTCAGGAAGGTAGAAAGGTAAGGAGATGTAGCATGAGACAAATATTCACCCGAGACCAAATGTAAACAGGTATAGGTCACCGTACGACCATCAACAATGAACAAATCCAATACCGTATAGTAAGCTTTAAAAGGCACAGGTATGACAGTATGTGAACCGATTTCAGAGAAATCCAACGGCCTACCAAACAAATATGACAGACGGCAATTAATAACAATCTCTTGATTACAAGTTCTTTACTTGGAGCAGGCACAAACAAAATTATAGTTTGTTTATTTAACGTGATTTTTTTTTACGGGGAAAACAATCTATTTGCTTTATAAGACGTTTCATTGTTGATGCTAACAGTTAACATCCAACCGATTCGTGTCTCTGAAAAGGCAAAAAAAAAAAAAAAGAAGGCAATAGGCTTGTCATGATCAATGAACAGATTGTCGAATTCGCAAAGTCAAAGCGGACAGAAAAAAAACAACAGTTATTTGAAAACAAAAATGTACTGTTTTATTGTATGTAATAAAATTCTGTTTTTTATTTATCTTGTATAATAATAAATCGTTTTTATTATCGTATGCTTTATATAATGTTAACATAATTAGTATTTGTATATCTTAATGACAATTGCCTCCTTGATATGTCATATTTTATGTGTTTGTTTGTCTATGTATAGTCCTTATTTTATTAAGACTAAGTATCTGTACATTAGAGACTCTTTGATGCCGTTTTTCATCATGTTAATTATGAAATCGCTTTTTGTATAGACATATCTACCTTTATATTATTCTAGGTCATTATTTGGTCAGTTTTGATTTTTGTAATTTTTGTTTGTTTATTTGTTTGTTATACGTTTACAAATTTTGAATTATTCGAAAAACTAAGACTTTTCTAACCCCAGGAATAGATTACCTTATCTGTATTTGGTAAAACCTTTCGGAATATTTGGGTCTCCAATGCTCTTCAACTTCGCAATTGAGCCTTTTAAATTGTGTAGACGAAGTGCGCGTCCGGCGTACAAAACTATTTATAATAGATACAGGAAGATGTGGTATAAGTGCCAATGAGACAACCCTCCATCCAAGTCAAAATTTATAAAAGTAAACCATTATAGGTCAAAGTACGGTCTTCAACACGGAGCCTTGGCTCACACCGAACAGCAAGCTATAAAGGGCCCCAAAAATTACTGTGTAAAACCATTCAAACGGGAAAACCAACGGTCTAATCTATATAAAAAACGAGAAACGAGAAACACTTATGAACCACATCAACAAACGACAACTACTGAACATCAGATTCCTGACTTAGGACAGGTGCAAACAATTGCAGCGGGTTTAGCTTGTTATCTTTGATGAGCTTTTACAACAACTAGTTCGATGCCACTATTGGTGGATGATATTTCTCCGAGGGTATCACCAGCTTAGTACCCAGCACTTCTGTGTTGACTTGGCGTATCATTGACGTAGTCATATTCTTAAATCAAAAAATTAAAAAACTTTGAATTGTTCGGAAAACTAAGGATGTTCTCACGGGGGGAGGGGGGTTCTTCCTATATAAAGGTATATACATATGTGCCGCTGGAATGGGTCCCTTTTTTGATACGTCAAATATATCTATGGGGTGCAATTTTACCGAGAAAATATATCAATAGGTAGTAATTGACCAATTGTAATATATCAATGGGTCATAATTTTTCAGTTTGTTGTACAACGATCTTCACTGAATTTCCCAAACTCTTTGTCATTAAAATTTCCACATCTGCTGAAACTTATTGACACCAAATTTTGAGCTGATAAATATATCAATGGGTTATGATTTCGCTGTGAAATACATGTATAGGTAGGGATTTCACAATTATTCAATATATGAATGGGGGTGTTTTTTAAATCCCAGCTGCACAACTGTTCCCAAAATCCCATGTTGAGACCCCCCGTGGATGTTCTTCACTCAGGAAATCATTACATTACCTGTATTTGGCAAAACCTTTCGGAATGTTTGGGTTCTAAATGCTCTTTAACTTCGTACTTGAGCCATTTAACTTTTTTATTCGAGCGGGCGTAAAAAAATATGAAGTTAGCGGTATCTTTGAACCGTTTTTTATATCTATTTTTTTTTTGTAATAATCCATGATTTTCTTTATTTCATATTGTACATTTAGAGTTAGAACAATTACATTTTATTTGCAGGTGCCTTTTTGCTACCATACTTTATAATGTTAATTTTCTTGGGATTGCCCTTGTTTTATATGGAGTTAGCGTTAGGACAGTACCAACGCTGTGGTGCAATTTCTATATGGAACAGACTTTGTCCTATGTTTACAGGTAAACATTCTATTGGAGCATACTATTAACGTAATAACATCTAGCACAAAAAGATGTTTTTTTATACATATAAATGATATTCTTATTCGTTTTTAAATGGAAATAACACTTAATTAATGAATTTCGTGCGTCCGAAGTTTGTTTCTGTATCTATCAGGAACGCTAAAATATAATCATTTGAAAGCTAGGGATGTATAAATGCTTAGAAAAGTAAAGAGCTATTTGACACAAGAGGACCGACAAAGAAAAGTCTAATACATCTCAGGTCACACTAATTAAATAAGAATTTTGATAGATGAATTTATCTTTTTAATATTATATGATATTAAATGAAAAACAATCTAGGTTAACCTACGTTTATTGAAGAAAGTAAAATATATACAACGTACTTTAACTCTGAGCAAAGTCATAAATTAATTGCTGGACTGTAAATCTTACTTCAACTAACACGAAGTAGACTTGAAAATATAAACGCCTATCAGAAGGTAACAAATAATGATTCAAAAAGTAAGTTCAAAAAGAAGATAAGTCATGAAAAAAACTCATTATGCATACCACAACCTCTAAAATAAAACAACGATATTGTATTTAAACTAAACATTCAAAATGTTTATTGCATATCATAAAACTTATTTTTCTTCTTCAAAATATTGGAATCAAAATCTCTTATGTCATAGCAATAATACTGTTTTACGTACTATTATTATCTGTATTTTCACTTGCAGTAACTTAAAACGAGGCTGTGAATATCCCATAGGGTACACATGCTTAAGATATACCTTGAATAAATTTAATTATATTCATTCATTTTCTTATAGGTCTCGGTTATGGAATATGTTTTGTTGCCACATTTGTCGGAATGTATTATAATACGGTGATTGCCTGGGCTGTCTATTACTTGTTTGCTTCTTTCCGTTCGGAAGTTCCCTGGTCGCACTGTAACAACACGTGGAACACTGCTAACTGCGTATCTGTTGTCGACGGGTACAATGTCAGTCACGTGACCAATGATTCAATGCTGGCAGCTACAGAATTTTACTTGTATGTATGAATGCTTATAAAACTAGATATATATAACAGTAATCCATCAATTAATTCAGAATTTATTCGAAATTATTGACGATAACAAATTTTATAGACGTTCAAGCATTTTCAACGTAAAGTCGATCGTATTATGGATAGAAATTGACCCAACTCTGTATGTTACAGAAGTATTAAAACCCCATTGAAATTTTATCAACTGATTGAAGATAACATGACATTTTTTTACAAAGTCTTCATAAAAATAAACGAGTTTTTACTGTATGTAATTGACTGCTTGATTTTTTTTTACAAATATGGACACGTTTTTGTTTTTGGGAAGGTTAACTTGCTGGAAGTAAGTCCCGTCACGGCCAGGATTGGAACTGGGTAGGCAATTGCTCACATTAAATCTGTGACGATGCCACTCTCAGATTTAATGTGTGCTAAATGTCCTCCTTTACATCATGGTGGTGTTCCTAATGAAAGGAGGCTCATACGTAGCATACATACTTACATGTCTCTTCAAACAACGAATTACATGTAAATTTACTGTTCATAAATAAAATCACATAGGGTTTTTCTAAAACCTTAGCCAGATTTGGTTATTTTTGTTAACCGGATTTCCAAAGAAAAATTTCGGTTATTAATTTGGTGATGTACGGAAGGCGGGCGGCTGCAAAACAGTGTCCATGCAATAACTTAAAAAGGCTTTGACGAAATCTTTTTAAATTTAGATATGTTGTTTTCTGTAACTAAATGAAGGTCAAGTTCCATTTTCACGATTTTAACTTTTATTGTTGTTGAGTTGTTGACCTTTAAGTAGCAAAAAATGATACTTAGAGCGTTGTTTGAGTTCATTGGAGATCATAAAGAAATGACGAGTTATTGATGGTATATTTATACTGCGTGTATCATATACATTTCTTATTCGTCAAATGAAAAGTTTATCACAAGACGAAGCATATTCAATAAACAAGTAAAGACTATAGTGTATAAATGTTCTTGAACTTTGTTGCTAAATAATGACATAAACAAATATAATTATTGTTTGAAATTGAATTCGTAAAATGTAAATAAAATTAAGCTTAAAGGTTTTGGTATTCCAAAATTGGAGAATCAATGATCTAAAGGGTAATGCAGTATTACATTTCTAAGTTTTAATTTAGTTTTAGTGCATGTATAATAAAGCTACAGATCTTTCAGGTGCCCTTTCCAATTATATTTTTTAAAGATTTCGAGTTTTAGAGGATCAAAAAGCATATGGTATTGAACGAATTGGTTCGCCTAAATGGCAGATGGTGCTTTGTTTGATAGCAGTCTTTGTTATTGTTTATTTTTCCTTGTGGAAGGGGATCAAATCCTCAGGAAAGGTGGGTAATGTATTTTGTAAATTATCTTACTGAGATTTTAATACTAAGGGAAACAAATTAAATTATAAAAGATTCAAGGAACATTAAAACGAGGCTGGTTGTGCTAATCATTGTTATGTCAATTTAGAAGTATTTTAGCAATTGCATTTAGACATATTTACATTTGAACTTTTTAAATTGTTTAAATTATGTTGGAAAAATAGAACTAAATAACATTTGTTTAAGTGTAACCCACGTCTCCTTTAAAGGTTGAAAATAATGAATATTACGGAGATAGGTTTTGAAATATTCAAACATACAGATAATTCGAAAACAGAAAAGAGATAATTAATGAAATGAGAGAAGTATGGTTCCCAAAATTAAATGAAATGTTTACCAATTTTTGTTTTTATATATTTTACCTTTTCTGTATGCATTATTTAATCAATACAAATACATAACTCCAAGAGACCGGTAACATATTATACATTTTTATTTTATAAAACATAATATATAGAATAAATAAAAAAAAATGTGGATTGTATATACTATATACATGTATTAAATAGCTACAGATAAAGATAATTTACAATAAATGAAAAAAAACTGATTGTTTCAGGCAGTGTGGGTAACTGCTACCGTTCCTTACGTTGTATTGCTCATCTTGTTGGTAAGGGGGTGTACCTTACCTGGTGCAAAAGATGGCATAATTTACTACCTCAGACCACAGTGGGACAAGTTACTTAAAGTGGAAGTAAGTATACTGTTTCCGAATCTTAACCTTTTTTGTTTTGTTGGCACTAAGCTACATTTTGTATTATTTACATAGTGCATAAGGTGGCAGTTTTCTAGCTGATTGCACCATAACCAAACATACTTCAATAATTACATTACATGTGTGTTTCACGAGAATCCGTTAGTTTGATTGGCTAACAAAAATCGCGCGTCATTCAAAAATGAACCTTCATATCAAAATGAAATGTTACATTCGTAATGACGCATGCTTCCACAAAAAAAGTGCACAGGTAAATAAAAGAATGAATGCTTCTTTTAGTAATTTGATGGGGTTTAAAAGTGTTGATCGTGCACACATTTTTAGAATGAAGCGCTCCCTCGCTTTATACAAAATGTGCTTCGGTCAACACTTTTACACCTCAATAAAATTACAAAAAGAAGCATTCATTTCTTAATTGAAAGAAATCCTTGTAAATTCTTTATATTACATTATTGTTTGCCGTGTTTGGCGCCACCAAAGACGGTATCAAATAAATATAGTACATATGTCTTTGATTTTTGTGTTTTGGCTGCTGTCTCATTAGCGTACACCCAAAATCCCCTTTGATTCATAAGGCATGTAAGGTGCATTGAGACGATATTATAGGTCAAGGAAATTAGCTTTACTACATTGAAAGTGTTTATGACTGCATATTTATTAAAAAATATCTCCGTTTTGTCCGTCTGTGTTTATATATATTATTTTTAATCTAACTTGCATCCTTGTTGACTTGCTATAAAGCAGGAGAAAAACTCCACGAGCCTCGATTTTTCTTCCTATTTCTAAAGCTCGTTATTTCATAAAAATGCTCGCCATTGTGCCCGTCTGTTTACAATCTTGTTTCCTTGTTTACTTATTTGAAAACAAGAGAAAATCTCCGCGAGTCTCGCAATTTCTTCCGGATTCTTAAGCTCATACAAATGAAGTTTTTTATTTACCGACAATTGTATAAAACATGTCAAACTTAATGACTGATGCAAAGGTTTTCAACAATTTAATTAAGTTAATTGCTTTCATGAATTATTCACATAGTGTGAAAATTCCAGAGAAAAGTAATTTTAATTTGTTAAAATTTAATTACTTTGTACATCTCGAGACATTTATGCACATTTCTTCCTTTAAGTTACATTCTTTTTGGTTTTAATGAATTAGTTAAAATCAGACAGAGAGATCACAAACCTTTCATGCTTTGAATTTTAAAAAGGAAAATATAAAGTGCAAAAATCATAAATACGTCTTACGATGAACTTTAAGACATTTCGATTATCATAAGAACATCTGCAACTGAATACATTTATAAGGATAAAGGAACAATAATTAAAATGGATCAATAATTCATTTAACGTCATGTCATCGCATTTGATAATGTTATTTATAAGTTAAAAGAAAAGCTCTGCCTGACACTTGTACAAGATGTTTTTCATTGTATACTCAATAAGCGAATGGAAGCTAAGTAATAAACCAAACGCAAAAGATGTTGTTATGAGATCAAATTGCATGAATTATTTTTAGTACGATTCAGAAAATCCAAAGTCATAGATCAGAAATTAAATGTATAAGTAAAAATAAGAATGATTAAAAACAGAAATGGGGTTGGTGTTGGGGGTTGGGGGATCCTTAAATGAAGAAAAAAGACCATCTGAAAATAAAAACAAAACGCAATACAAAAAATGTATAAATGCATTATATCAAACGCTTTTCAAAAAATTAACAAATACAATAACGTCGTTTTACGCAAGACATCACCAAGAAAGTTAACGTCATTGTAGGAAAATACATGTGGACATTGTTCTCGAGTCGTGAAATGCGTTTTACAAAGAACAAACAGAAATTATGTTGACTTCGATCTTTGAATCCAAAACTAGTTTGCTTCTAATTGATTGATCGATTGATTGATTGATTGATTGTTACTTGCATTACAACATAAGTAGGTTCTACAAGAATGAAATAAGGGCAGAATAATGACGAGGTCAGTATTTTGCCTTCTTACAGGCTACCCCTGTCGATTGGTGTAAACCCGACATCGCCTTCAATTCATAATTATTACATTTTAATTTGAAATTGAAATTTAATTGGTACGATCCCCGGACTTCAGTGTCGGCAAAAAAGGTTGGTGTGTTTCTTTGGTTCGTTTTTATAAATGGTGATCATTTGTATTAATATGATTAAGACTGTAAAAGGTTAGCGACCTTTTCTAGGTTATCTATTTAGGTCACGAGACAGGTTTTATTGACATTAATGTATAAATCTTATTTGTTTACATGAATTATCTGCATAAATGTCATTATATATTTTTCCATTCAATTTGTTTTCTTCTGAGGTGTTTGCTTTGTAAACAGTTGTTTACATTAAGGAAATGTTTTAGTACTGCTATGTTAACGGCAGTCTCGCCTTTTATATCTCTAATATGAAAAGTTAAAAAGTATTACCTTTCTAAAAAGCTTATTCAGTCAGCAAACCCTATGAACTTCAAGATTTCAGTTTTTTGTGTGTTTACCTGTGAACATCACATGAACTCAAACTTGATGACAAAAACGTATTCAGTTCTTAAGCGAACTCACAAACTTAATGACAAAAACGTATTCAGTTCTTAAGCGAACTCACAAACTTGATAACAAAAACGTATTCGGTTCTTAAGCGAACGCACATTTTTACAGTTATGGAGTATTTATTATTGAGATAACTTCACTTTCTAACCTTCCGGTCTTAATGTTCATCGACTTCTTTTTTATGAAATCCATCTGAATTATTCCCCCAATTTTTGACAAATATTTTGAGGATCCGATCGTTGTTTGAATGTTTGCATATTTTTTATATTTAACAATGAAATTGTCGGACACATTATGGGAGTATTTGTTATATTTTTTGTCCGTGATAGTCGATAATTTGTTGGTATTAGCCCGCATCTATAGTCTCCAATACAGACATGTAGTTTTATCAACGTCATGGAAACGTAAAGCTCAACAGGTTCTATGGCCATCTTTAACATGCAACAAGTTGTGAGTTTTAGCTTCTTGATGAAGGTTTTACTGTGATTTTGACTAATGTATAGTTATAAAAAAATCCTTCATTTTCGAGTTTTGTCAACTGCGCGTTTAATTTTAGCGCCATGCATAAAATACTGTGAATCTGTTACACATGAACTGTTACATGCAACTATTATATACTTAGTAGTAAATACAGATAAATTGTATGTATAATACAATCATTGGCAAGCGTGCTGTATCAGCCACCCGTGATGATATCGATATCAGCACGGTTGTGTAGGCTTTATCACACCTTTAATGTGTATGACGTCACGTCACCGATTGCAGTCACTGTTGCAAAGGCTTTATCAAACCCCTAATCTGTATGACATCATGTCTAACCTATAATCTGTTTGACGTCATTTCAAACCTCCTTACCTGTATGACGTCATGTCACATAAAAACATCTACGTGAGGTTTATGTATATAATAAAGTGTATATGATATGGCTTTAATTTTCAATATCACACACCGTATCAACCCTCGACCAATATAATCCCAAGAGCAGAGCTCTTGGGATTATATTGGTGTCTCGGATTGATACGGATGTGATATTGAAAAAGCCATATGATATTCTCTATATAATCAAGTTGTAATCGGATAATAACGTTATGATAATATTTGTAAACTTTTGAATTTAAAAAAAAATAATTTGTTGAAGTTAAATAGCTTTTAAAAATTAGGAGAGTTAATGTAACATAATCGATATACTTACACCAATACAACAAATGCCTTACATTCTATAGCCAAGAGTTCAGAAAGTGCATGTTATTCAACACCAGCAATCAATCAATCAATTTGTTATATCACTTATAAGATATAAACAATGCAGTATAAATGACGATAAATTTTAATTGTTCGATTTTTTTAAGAAGGATCTACTGGACCTTCATTTATGAATTTTATAAATATCAACTAATGAATTGTAGGTATGGTTAGATGCTGCATCACAGATATTCTTCTCTTTGGGACCAGGATTTGGTACTTTGTTGGCTTTATCAAGTTATAACAAATTTCACAACAACTGTTATATGTAAGTAAATTTATCCTTTATTTTTGGCAATCGGTACATTGAAATAGCTGCCGTTGGGCCGTATTCGCCAATTATGTCCGCCCCCACAACCCAGTGAATCGGCGATGCTTTTTACGTCAGATTTAAGTTAACCTATGTTCTCATGAATTAGCTGTTCAGGGTAACTTATTGATTGATTGACTTCGACGATAAGTCCAGTGGCACACATTACAATTATATTCAGGACCATAAACATGATATCCTGCTCGGACTTTCCAGTATTTGCTTTTACTCTTAAATATCGCATAATTAGTAAAAGAACAGTAAATACCCAGGTGTAGGGCCCATTTCCCCTGAATTTTTTTCACAACAGGTTGTTATTTAATAGTTGTTACTTATTTTTACTTATCATCCAGATGTATTTTATACCGGACGAACAGACAGAGTAGCAAAAGTAAACTTCCAATCCTTCTCCCCTGGAAACATAAAAACAAAAAAAAACAAAGCAGATCAAAACTATCGAAGTAATCATCCAAAAACCCTTCTTTTTCGATTTTTCACCTGGCATAACTCTGAAACAGTAATTGCTATATATGAAGAGATCGAACTTTTGGTGAATTCAAAGTAATTAGAAACTGACATTTTCAACCGAAAACTCAAATTATACGATATTGAACACCAGCGGCAACAGCGATTCTTTCCCTATTTTCTCTTGGATAATAAGACTTGAATTAAACAAATGTAGGATGCCAAGTTTACTGCCTACAAAATGCCCACCTTGACTAACATCCCAACAACAGTGATATGGATCCCATGTATTGAACATTATAAAACAAACGCTATTAATTCAGTGGTTGTCGTTTGTTACTGTATATCACATTTCGTTTATTGATTTGTATATAAACCAGGCCATAAGTTTTATCGTTTGAATTGTTTCACATTTTTATTATGCTTGAACCTTTTATTGACTCCACGAACAACACGAAGGATAGAAGAGTGGAGCACAATCTGCGTATCCTTCCGAAGTAACTGACATGACCCCTAGTTTTTGAAGGGGGTTCATTTTGCTCAGTTTGTAGTTTTATACGAAAGGTTTTTTATACTGTTTTCGTCGTTTTTCGTTTTTTTTTTGCAATGGTTTTGTTAATGTATCTTCGACTTATGAGTTTTTCCGACAGGGGAGTATTGGTATGAGTTTTTGTACTCTGCTCACAATTATTTTCGTTTACATTGTTAAGAGTACAGTAATCATTTGTGTAAGTGATTTACACTTTACACCAGTACTCGTTAATGCAACCTCTTATAATATCTAGAAGTGGAATAAAATTGTCGTGGTGCAAATGTTGGATTATATTAAGGCTATTAAAATTGTAAGAAAAATTTTCAAAATTAAACAAATAGACAATTTACTGTAATTTTACACCATAATGATTTTTAATTATACGATATTTTTTCAGAGATGCTGTTGCAACAGCTACCATCAATTGTTTTACCAGCGTTTTAGCGGGTTTTGTGGTATTTTCGGTATTAGGTTACATGGCACATATCACACAAAAGGATATAGATAAAGTAGCTATGGAAGGTAATATGAATATTGAATAAACTCGAAAAATCAAACTAAACATGCACACATCAAACAAATAAACAAACAAACAAAGAGACATCAAGTGGTTACAGCGCATTTTTTTAACACTCAACAAACGTCCACATCGTAATACAAGTCTAAATCTCCAGGATATCAGATCAGTTGCTAATGTATTTAAAAGTTTACCGTAGACCAATGTCAACTTCACACAGATAAAACAGTTACGCTACGGAACAAGATTAACTGATCTTCATTGACTGTAAGCGAAGTGTCTCAACAGTAATAGTAATAGATGTACTGCAGTGGATGTGTTTGACAATTTTATTGGAATGCAGATACAAATGTCCTACACAATTTTGCCAATTCTCTCGGTTCAAATCAAAATGGCCATTTCATTTTAAAATGAAGATAACGATACATGCAGCAGTAAGAAAAAAATATGTTTAAAAAGTGTGTTTTCACCTTTATTTATGGAGATGCGAGGTTTAAAGTTGCAAGAGTTTAATTTTAAAGTATAAAAGTGGGAATGTTCAAAACTTGAATTGATTGAAATTTTTTGTAAATTATCAGTATTTAAACGTAATATAACAGTGATTACATTTATACTGCATTGAATATTAATTGATTGAACGTTGATTGTTTGTGTTTAACGCCACTTTCAGCACTCTTGGTAATATCGTGGAGGCCAGTTTTTTTTATTGAGGAAGGGAACCGAAGTGCCCCGAGAGAATCACTAACCTTCGGCAGAAAAAATGCAATCCTAGTCAATTAAGATCGGAGTCGAACGCACCTAACTCGTGCGGTGTTCGAAATCACAACCTCAGAGTCACCAGAATAGTGAATGCTATAGCTGAAAATAAACTGCTTAGTAAGTCGTTCTACATGAAATAGATGCATCCTTTTTTCCCATCCCTATCAACATTATCAGAACCACAAGTTTATGAATTAAGGTAAATGTCAGATACAAAACACATCAAAGGTGAACTTTTAACGTTTTCATTAAATGACAGTTCACAATTGACTACACACGTGTGCTTTGTAATATTTCCAAGGATAAAATTATACTAAGGATTTTCTACCCCAGGAATAGATTACCTAAGCTGTATTTGACAAGACCTTTCGGAATTCTGGGTCCTCAATGCTCTTCAACTTCGTACTTTATTTGGCTTTTTTAACTTATTTGATTCGAGTATCACTGATGAGTCTTTGATAGACAAAATTCGCTGCGTCTGACTTACAAAATTTTAATCCTGGTATCTATGAGTTTATATATATATATATATATATACATTAAAATTAAAAATATGCATAACTATTTTAGGTCCCGGGTTGGTGTTTATGGTATACCCTGAAGCACTAGCGACATTGGATGGATCAGTATTTTGGTCTATTTTATTCTTTGTTATGCTTATCACACTAGGCATGGACAGTACGGTATGTTTAAAGTTAACATGTTTTTTCATTTCGTAGCTGTCACGTCACATTACTGAATCTGAACCACAATACTTATCTTTTAAAAAGACTTCATCTCGGTAAACTTCGGAATTCCTCGGCAAACATCGGATTTCCAAAACGATACGGATATATAAACCAAGTAAAGATACAGTTCGCTTGATACCAAAAGATTTGGATGTCAAACATACACATAAACGATCTAATGAGATAATGTTGATAAACACCATTACAATCAAAGCATGGCAGCTTCGTCAAGCATAGTTAAGCTAACAAAGGAAAACACGTTCAATACACAGCAGTTTAAAAATTTTAAAAGGAATAAGCAGTAGTTTAAATAAACTGAAATGAACTAAAATGAAGCTTTCTTCTCTTATGAGAAAGGTAAATAGTCTCGATATACTTACTGAAGGTATGATGAGATGATAAAATTGAAGCGGTCAATTTCTTCTTGATAACATTTATGTACGTTTGGGCAATAAAGTGTATCGACAGGTTGTAGGTATTCCAAGGGGCACCAATTGCGCCCCTTTAATAGTAGACTTGTTCTTGTACTGTTATGAATCACATTTTATGACCAAACTCAGTAAAGACCCGTCTAAATTGCATTTAATTGATAAATTCAACAAGACTTATCGTTATCTTGATGATATTTTTTCGTTAAATAATCAAGAATTTTCTAAATATACTGCCGAGATTTACCCAAAGGAACTTACTATAAACAAATCAAATATAAACGGTAATAACTGTCCTTTCCTAGATTTTGATATTTCAGTTTTTCACGGGGAAACTCTACACACAAATTTACGACTAAAGAGATTTTTCTTTCCCTATTGTTAATTTTTCCTTTTTTTGAATGGTGATGTTCCTTTGGCACCATCTTACGGTGTTTACATATCACAACTCTTTTGCTATGCCCTCGTCTGTAGTGACGATGTATTACTGGTATAAAGTCAGGGATTTCGTTACCACAAATTACTCAAAACCTTTACTAAATTCTTTCATAGATGCAAAGGTTTGGTTTGGAAGTTTGGCTGTTATGATATGAACGATATTAAGGTTGAAATAAAGATTCATGTTTTTCAGTTTGGTGGACTTGAGGCGGTGATAACGGCCATTATGGATACATTCGCAATAGTAAAAGGACGAAGGGAATGGCTTGTTCTCGGGGTTATAATATATTGCTTTCTCGGTTCACTGCCATCTACCACAAATGTGAGTACTTGACTTGAATTAAACATATTTGTATGAATTTAATTAGAATATTATTAAATAAGTGTCTATATTCTAGCTATAGCACTATCAATTTCAATGCAATAGATTAAGATGTTACATTGATGTAGGTGTTTGTCAAATCACACATGTACACAAACACTCTTTATTTTTTGAATACAGGTAGATTATCATTTTCAATTTACCAAAAAAAATTATAAAAGTAATTTGTTGATAATATAATGTAGGTGGCCGCAGTTGAAATATTTCTATTCAGTTACTGACAAGTATTCAAGTTAGTCATTGAGGAAGAGTATTAGAATATTTACCAATTTATACTGTGCAAAGTGTAGTGAATGTAAATACACAACATAGAAAAGAGACAGAAGACACGAAAGAGAAAATAATAAATACTGTGGATTCATTTATTTTCGAGGATGTCAATTTTCGTGGATAGGGGAAATTTTGCATTTTCGTGGATATTTGATTTCGTGGTTTTGCAAACGTCTGCATAAAAGCCTAAAGAAAATTGGTATTTCGTTGAACATTTAATTTATTGGTTAACCGATACCCACGGAGTCCACGAAAATTGGTATCCAAGGAATAATTATGAATCCACAGTAATAAGTCTTAAGAAAAGCCGACACTACAGAGGCAAAAACAAAAAGGACAAAAGACCCCTCTGAAATCCACAAAACACTAGAAAGAAAGCAAAAGACTCAGCAACACGAACACTATCACTGACAATATAATATAATATGTGAATCATACAAATGAAATTTTAACATGTTATAGACGCTGTATTTCACAATAATAGGGAATATTGACAAATAAGTTTTTTTATTTCCCATGTTAAAGCAAAATGTAAAATGATATTTGAAAAGTACAAATGATTAATGTATCTGTAGTAAATTATCTGCAATATAAACGGTGAATTACACATATGATGAATATGTTATGAATTTACTGAATTACTAAACGAATGGTAAATGAAATTGATGGGAATATAATCACACAGTTTTTTTAATATGTAAATCATATATTGGTAATTGATATAATGTTAAATTGTAATTACAGTAAATGTATTTAAAAATATAAATACTATAATAAGAAGTTTTTCAATTTTCAAAACTTTTTGGAGAAGATGTGCAAATCAATATAACTATAACTCCGGTAAGATATTTTAACCATTGTTGAAATACATAGATTCTTGACAATCAGTGCAGAAACATGTATTGTTGAAAAGTGCATCTGGTGCAGAAAAATTAGTACCGTTAATGTTGTTTTTACCACTGGGTCGATACCTCTGCTGTTGGACTGTTAGTCATTGAGGGTATCACTAGCCTAGTAGCCAGTTCTTCGGTAGTGGCATGGAAATATTATGGTCTCGAGCATCACTGAGGAGACATTTTTTGTCGAAATATACGCACCTGGTGCAGAAACTTTGTTACCTTTCATGTTATTTTAACAATTATCATAAAATTTAATACACTTTAAAGACTGGATGAAGCCTTTTCTCTAATCTTTTAACGAACAATATAAAAATATTTGTTTATAAATCATGTTCGATAATTTGATCAAGTGACCAGAACCGTTCTACATGCACGAAGAATTAAATAAGATATTTTAACAATATAAGTGTATTAAGTTGTCAACCGCTTTTTTAAATGTTGATTAAATTATAATGACAAAAAAAGTTCAATATACAGCATAGTTTTTGAATTATGTATATAAATTGAAAATCTATAAATATTTGATATAACAAAAAATGCTACAGAATTTAAACAAAGATTATCAGAACGATGTGTTCAGAATTATTGATAGTACAGAAACTTTCAAGAATACAATTTTTCAGACATTGTTTGACACACAGTAATATTTTTTTTATATACTACTGTTACATTACAGGGTGGACAGTACATTGTTAGTCTGATAGACAGACATGCAGCTCCAATTCCACTTATTTGTATTTGTTTCTGTGAAGCAATAGCTGTAAACTGGTTTTATGGTAAGTTTGCATTTCACTAGAACTATTGTTGTATAATTTTTGTATGCTTCCCCTGCCATAGTAGGAAGCTTTATGTTTACTGGTCTGTGTGACGGTCTGTCCTGTAATCCGTGCGTCCCGTATCATAATAAAGTTTTGGTTTAAGGCAGTTTACCATGATGAGTTTAACAAGGAAGTTTTGGTCACATCAATTGAAAGATAGTACACATATTCTTTTTGATATGAACTTTTAAAAATAAATGCAAAATTATGGTTCTGACTTAAAATTCGCGACATACGGAAAATAGAAATGTGAGAGTGCGATTGGGGCATGGTATCCTATTTGCACATATTGTGTTATTTTAATAATTACTCATACCTTTTGTAATTTCTACAATAAAGTGAACAATAATTTGTTATCATTTTTGTACTATATGTTGAGTCTAATTGACACAGTAGATGCATATTTTAAATCATAAGTGTTATCACAAAACTCCATGGATTTGTTTATATCTTAAAAACTAAACTTTTCTAATTACTTAATGGTTTGTACATCTTTTGAACCATTTTGTTTTGTCTATATCTGCTGTATTTCATTTAATGCCTTCCCTTACACTGATTACATTCCCACCTAATGATAAATTCGTAGAATTTTGTACTTGCAAAACAGAGGGCACCGACTAGTATATTATGAACAGAATAATAACAATTAGTCATACATATTAGAATATTAACAAACAAATCTTTGATGAAATGTTTCTTTTATGATGATTAATCGTATATATTCTGCACGATTAATTGTTACATTGCAGGTGTCAAGGTTTTAACCTTGTATATGTGTACAGAACACTTGCAGTAAAACTGAATAAATTTATCATATGGTGGTAAGGGTCATTTGCTGACGCATCTTGTCATTACAATCTATATCAATTAATTTGCATAGATATTAGTACATTGTATAGATTAAAAATGTTGTAAAGTTGCATCCAGTCAATTTATATAAAATAAAATTTAATTGTTTTAATACATGACCAGTCTTTTAGATCTAAAAAAACTCAAAGTAAAACAAACATAAAAAGCAAAGACAAACGAAAGATAACTAAAAATAACTCAAAACAGAAAAGAAGAGGAAAAAAAACCACATATGATCAATATTGCAAGTTACATTTAATCAGATAAACATTTTACTACATTTGTAACCCGGATTTGTTTTCACCCAATCGATTTATGACTTTTGAACACCGGTATACTACTGTTGCCTTTATTTACCACTTTGGTTAGGTTCAACACACCTACATGAATACAAAACATTTAAATAATTTTAGTCTTTATCGCCTCCCATATAAACCATTTAAATTAAGAAAACAAATTTGGTCTGGCATATCAAACTGTAAACCTGGAATCTTTGATGAGTTTTTACAACCATTGGGTGGATGCCACTGCTGGTGGACTTTTTTTTCCTAAAGGTATCAACAGTCCAGTAGTCAGCAATTTTGTGTGGACATGGGATATCATTTATATGTTAATTTTCTGTAAATTTGCTATTTTTGATATGGATTTATTCGAATCCCTAGGGGTTTCCTACCCAAGGCATATATTGCTTTAGTCTTATTTGGTACAACTTTTGAAAAAAATAGGATTTTACTGCTTTTCAACATGATTGTATTGTATTTGATTTGACATTTTAACTATTTTGATTTGAGCGTCACTGGTGAGTCTAATGTAGACGAAACGAGCGGCTGTCTTATCAAATTAAAAGCCTGGTATTTTCAATGAGTTTTTGAATATATTTGTTTTCGTTTTAGTCTAAAGAAAATAATAAACAACAAAAAAATCTTGAATATTTTAGAGATCATTTAAAATAAAATCATTCATTTCTCGTCTGAGTTTGGCTGTACTTTTGACCACTTTTTGTTAATCAGCTCTTCGTAGTTTGTATAATGTTTTTGATTTTCAACTATCTTGGCCTCGAGCATCAATAAAGAGAAGCGATTTGTTGAAATGTCCATCTTGTGCAGTAGATTTGGAACCGTTAATCTTATAGGTAAATGCTGGTATTATTTGAATAATCAAGTTTATCACTATAGGATTTTTAAAATTAAAAATGTTGGAATATGACAGTTGTTATCCATTCGTTTGATGTGTTTGAGCTTTTGAGTTTGCCATTTACTTAGGAACTTTCCGTTTAGAATTTTCCTCGGAGTTCGTTATTTTTGTAATTTTACTCTTTTCTAATGTTAAGCATAATGTCAAAGTGTTTGTAATAAAAATAGGTTAAAATTTATCAGATCCTTGAAGTGGTTTTTGAAATATTTGCAGAACTTTTTATGTTGCGGTACTACAATGAATGAAAACAGAAAGTATAGAATAACCCCAAAGTTTCTATGTCGTTTTGCAAATGAAACTCTTTTAAGGGACGCTGGTTGTCAATTACTAGTAAGTATTACCAGAAATGTTACAAGATGTATTAATTAATGCATCTATATTTGTAGGTGTACAACACTTTTCAAATGATGTACAAAGTATGTTAGGATTTCAGCCTGGCATATTTTGGAAAATATGCTGGGCGTTTATCTGCCCAATTTGCCTCATTGTAAGTATCGTACAATTTAAGTGAGTTCGTATTTATGTTTCCGACCTAGAAGATAACAAGTGAATATGAATCATCGCAAATATGTCAAAAAGTCCAGAAATATGGTGCAAAGTTGTGTAGATTTGAAGCGATAAAAAGTATTCGACAAAAATCGATCGATTCTACCACACACGTTCCAAACGTATTAAAGTGGTAGAATATTTTTGTTAGAATCTGTTTTTATAATGATACAATTGAAAATGCATAGTGAAATGTTACGGATTAAGCGGGAAGTAATACGAATCATGTTCTTTCTCAAAATTTATTAAACATTAGGTCAAGTCAGGTACTGTTTCAATGTAAATAGAATCAAGAAAGTTGGATTATAGTATTTTGGAATGTGTTTTTTGTAAAAGAAACTGTTAGATGAATATATTCTTAATGTAGGATTCTGTTAAATATAGAATCCAAACGAAATGTATTTGATATGACTACTTTACACGTCATCATGATTTTCTGCAATTAACTCTTGAGTGGCGGTTGTTAAGGAGAGTTGTATTACAAAATAATACAAGCGTTGCTATATAAATAATCTTTAAAGTCAAGAAAGATGTCTTCTTTATAAAAGAGGGGAATCATTAAATCATACGTTATGTTTTTCAATTATAGAGAAACCCCGCACGGGGCAGGTGCACTCGACTCCAATCTTAATTGACTAGGATTGTTAGCTTTCCTACTGAAGGTCGGTGGTTTTCTCCGCGGGCACTCCGACTTCCTCCACGACAAAAAAATCACCGCCACGCAATAGCACAATAGCGTTGAAAGTGGCGTTAAACACCAATCAATCAATCAATCAATGACAGCTCTATCTCATTCATAATTTAGAAGCTTTTTGCCTTGTCAGAACTTGAAAAAACTAACTGCAACTAGTATTAAGAGGAAGAAGATAACACATTGTCATTCAAAACTCATTGGTCGAAGAGAAATTGTCAACGTCAGTGTAAACACGAAAAAGACGAATTTACAATTAAGTCTAAATTACCATATATAAGGAGCTAAAGTAATGAGCTACTTGAACCTAAACAAAAAACTTTGGTAAAATTTTTAAATTAAGTTAGATTGATTTGATGTTTTAACTTGCCAAATATCATCACGAACTAGACATGATGAGGGAGATATCTATAACAAGTCATGACATACGAAAGTATTATTATTTAGTACAGAAATTTAATTGAAATAATTTTATTTCAGGTTTTATTCGTTTTATCAATTTATTACTATGACGGCATAACACTAAATGGTTACGTGTTCCCTCAGTGGTCATTAGCAGTTGGGTGGACAATATCTTCCATTTCATTAATATGTATACCTATCTACATTGTATATCTTCTCATTGTCACACCTGGAACATTCAAGCAGGTGAGTTTTCACAGAACTTATGTAAAATGATTTAAGTATTTATGTAAAAGTAAAACTCTGAATCTACGATTCTGTTCCGCATTTAACATCAGTAGAATTATTATCTATTGAAAAACATTTATAACAGTTTATGACGTATGTTTTTATTGATCAGTAGTTTTAAGTTCGCAATCATATAAGTAGTTACCAAATCAATAGTAGTAGTTTCAAGTGTGCAAGCATATAAGTACATGTAGCTACTAAATCAAAAAGAGCAAGTTCGTTACCTTTCATCTGTACATTTTTATGAATGTCATATGATATAAACAATAGTCGGTATATTTTGTGTCGAAACGACAATTTTTATCCAAATTAATATCAAAAAGACAAGAGAAAAAATGTTATTGAGTAAGGTAGAATTTTCCGAGTGACTAAAGTAAATGTTTAGTGATCCTCATTTTTTGTTGCTATATATACTTTAGTAGATGTCTTTATTTTTATGTCTTTTTGAGATTTTCTCATTAAACTTAACATCATGTCTCCTTTTATTTTGAACTAAATATAATTAAGATACAAGTAAGAAGTGATAACCACAAGAAAGACACCAAAGGGACGTTCAAACTTTTACAATTTACAATTATGTAAAAGTTACCACCATTTATTGATAATTGTGTCGTTCATTATGTTGTCGATAAATCATTCTCTATTATGTTGTATTTTTCAGAAAATTCTACGAATGATTCGTCCATCATCAATACCATCTCACGTTGACCAAGATACATCAAGACATTTATATGACAAGTACGAAATCTCGTCTTCTAACGTAGGAACAACTGTGAACACACCTGTATCATACAATGCTGAGTCAATTTCTATGTATTCTCCATATCAGGTAGATAGCATTCAGGACAAAAATGACAGTGTTTAAAACTGTTTTCGTTGATGATAATTACATTTATGAATTTTGTGTTCTCATTTTGTTTAAATCATCTGCGCATATATGTAAATATTCATTTAACAAAAAAATCATACTTTACCTATTCAATATGCGAGATGCTTTAATATTATACAATAACGACAGTGGTTCCTCTCTTGATCCTCGAGAATTTAGCCATTATCTTCCTTCTGCAATATCTGCGAACTGTATAAGGGATGTATTCACACGATCAGGTGGATAATTCTTTTGTATATTAATTCTGACCATCTATATCCGAATGATGAAGCTAAAAATGATAATGTATCACTTTCCGTTTTGAAGTTTCCTTGGAGTTCGTTATTTTTGTTATTTTACTTTTCACAGTGGAAGCGTATTTGAGAAACACATGCCCAGGAATCAGATGATCTTTTCTAAATGACAATGGGTTTGTACTGCTTCTGTTAGACTATCAGTCTTCCGGGGGTAATATCCACCTTGCAAACAGTGCATTGAATTGATTTAAATGAAACAAATTTCAGTTGCCAATGTCAATTATTTGGGCTCAAACTAAGATTGCATCCCCACCAGGCAACCTTGACTTAAGACAGTTTAAGGGCATTCGATGTTCGGTCTTGCAATGCCCAATTAGTCCGTTCTTTTATTAATATGACATTCGAAAATGAATCATGATTATAGAGATACAGATATGGCTTTATTAATGTCATTTTTAATTAATTAAAAATAAAACTATATGTGCATCTTATAAGAGTCATATAAGGGTAAGCATTTCGCTGCTATTATGTTCCATTCAAAAAAGTCCCCTTGGTGTCACAAAAAAGTAACAAGATGATCAAAAATGAATACAGATTTGCGCTATTGAATTATAGATGCAAAAGCGGAAAACAATGCCAAAATATACGAAAAACGAATGCAACTGAAAAGTATTTGAGACTGTATTAAACAGGTGACATTATTTTAAAAACATGTTTGTTTTAAGCATTGTCGACTTCCACTTGGGATATATGTCTGCTAAGTTAGGTAATGTTACTGTTAAACATATTTTGTAGAATATTTTCATTTATCATTGTTGTTTATATGTATCTGTATCATTTGTTATATATTTGAAAAATGAAAAACTAATGGATACTACTGGTTAAGATTTTCCTCAGGAAAAATCACCTACAGTATTTAGAAAAGGTGCTGTATCTTAATAAATATATGGCTCATTACATATTGTTATATATGTTGTTAAAAGATTTGTATTAAAATCTAAAGATAACGCCTTGTTTATTGATAAAATTCATTGTTAAGTGACAAAAACTCATCAAAGATAAGCGAAGCCATGCGAACGTTTTGTTTTCAGTAGAATCATTAGTGGTGGTCGAATGAAAACAATAAGAAGCTAAAATCAATAACAAAGTTGAAAAGAATTGAACACCCAAAGTTCTAATAAGCTGTACAAAGTCTAGCTAAGGTCATCTTTGAAAAGGATGATGATAAAGATGATGAGGGATTGATGTTAACGTCCAGTGACAAATACTATATGCATTTCAAGACGATGAATTTGATCAATGCTTTGTACTAGAACAACACGGTGTTCACTTTTGAATTGTTTTACATTTTGTCATGCCTTTAATTTTGTTCTTTGCTCTTTGTTGAAGGCCGTACAATGACTTATAGTTCTTTTTTCTCGTCATTTGGTATCTGGCCATATTTATTTTTCCAAATAAATTTTTCGTTGCATGAAAGAAATATCTGTTGGCCGTTTGGGATCCTGTTTTTGGAATTCTGTTTTCAAATAAAAACAAGAGACTGGTGATAACAAACTTGTATTGGACAATCAAAATTCTTAAGTCGAAAACTAACAGACAAAACCATGGCAATTTAAAAGCAACGAAAAAACGAACAACAGTCTACAAAACACTATAACAACTAACACAAACCCCATTAAAAACCGAGGTGATATCAGATGGTCTGGAAGTTCGATTAAGTGCTATATGAATGTTACGCAGATATATTTTAGAGGAGGAAATAGCTTTTGTCTGTCATTCCTTGACATTGTTATTATAAAATAAATATTATTTTATTGGGAGGACTAAGGGCTTACATGTACAAATAATTAAACCAGTCACATGCTTTAATTGACTTCAACATGAGGGGTCTGCAGTTCAGTGGTAGGTATTTGAGGGGTATAGTTGTATTTTTATTCATGTTATCGACTTGGCACCTTTCTGATAAAATAAAGACCAGGAAAGCGCTCCAATGCCGTATACAAACTCACCAAAGACAACAGACTTGTAATTTTGGACGCCAGACGCGCTTTCCGTCTACAAAAGACTAATCAGTGACGCTTGAATATAAATGTTAAAAGACAAAATGAAGTGTGAAGTTGAAAATTCCGAAAGATTTTGCCAAACACAGCTTTAGTAATCTATTCCTGTACTTATTTATTTATAAGAAATACTTTAGACACTCATATTTCTACAGATACATGTATGCAAAGACAAAAGGCTAATTTTAATGGAAAACCTCTTTAAAGCGGGGCACTTTCAGTCTTTTAAAAATCAAGTACCATCTAAAGATGCCCTAATCTGTGCAATTTTCTCTTTAACTTTTTATACAGGTTTGATTAGTCACAAAAAGTGTATGGGTATTGGCGAAGCGTAATGTCGGAAATATTCACATTGTACCTCAGTTCAATGCAAAAATTTAATATATTTTCAGGAGTGTAAAATGTTTAAATATTTTCCGTACTGAAAGTCTCAGAAATACTTACAATAAAACAAAAGCATAAAAAAGGATAATTGCTTAAATGTGACAATTTCCGATTTTACTTAATAATGCATACTTTTATACCTGTTATTTGTTTTAATATATTTAGCCTTCTGACTTAACCTGATTTTACCCCCTGTTGTTGTGGGGCTCGTGTAGCAATACTTCTAATTCTAATTTTTGTAATATTTTGTGGACTTGTTTATGTTTCCGTCGTGGTTCCTTTGTCATATGTTGCCTGTTTTTCTTCGAGTTATTTGTTTTGATTGCCCTTAGGAGTCGATTCGACATCATCCAGAAAAGGCATAAACAACATGATACTGAATATGCATTTTACTTTAGATATCCCTTATCCAGCTCATAGAAAGGTACTCAAACATAATTTGTATACAAACAAATTATGCGCAGTGATATTGGACATGTTGTTGTCAAGTATATTAACAAGTGACTGAGCTTAACCGTTTGTGATGATTTGAAGAACAAAGGACCATAGAATAGAAGTATAAAAACTGGCGTTAATAGATATCTCGTTATCCAAAAATTTATCCACATATGTGATAATGTCTCAGCTTCGAAACGAGCAATCATTCATATCCAAGTTTACGATTCAGGTAGTGGATTTAAAGAAATGCTACCATTACCGCCTATACCTAAAATGAATTGTGCACATGGACCCAACTAACTGTTTTTATTTTGCATAGTATTACATGAACTACTACCATTATCTTTAAACACAAATATTTATGGTTTAGAATTAAACTTTTGGTTAGATCTTTTTTAATGAAGAATGATGAAAAACTACCAAAACGGCAATATTACAATCTATTGGACTGTTTACGCTAATATGAATGCTTGACAGGAATGCGATGATTGTCCTTAACCCTTTAAATCAATATTTCTTTTAAAATATGAAATTCAGTATTTTTGCAATTGTTATATCATATACGGGTCTGTTTTCACGACTGGAACTGAAATGACAAAACAGTCACTTGTTTCATATTGTGTCATCCGCCTTATTCAAAGCAAGAAATACTTTAACAGAAAGAGCACTAGATATAAACTTCAGTGTTCAAAAGGCTATTAGTTGTATGTATGTTATTTGTCAAATTGTATGACCTCAATATATAATGTTATCTATATTATAGTTGGACAAAACATGCAGTGCAGAACAATGACATTTTTGTAGGTACACGTAATTTGTTTTGGTATACTTTACTTTTATTGCATATTCGGTATTAAATGTAGTTTAAGTCCTTGCCTACTTAACGTGCCTTCCTTTATATTTATAACATACTAAAATTGTATAAGGTATTCTATGATATAAAACTGCAAGATTGCAAGGTTCTTTGCATCAAACGGGATTTTCTTTCCTTAAATGAATCTTTTGTAGACGAAACTTGCGTCTTGCATACAAAATAATAAGCCTGGTATTCTAGTGTCGATGCAACTGCTGGTGGATGTTTCCTCCTCGAGGGTATTACCAGCCCAGTACTCAGCACTATGTTGACATGAATTATCATTGATATGATCATAATCATAAATTAACTGTTTACAAAACTTTGAATTTTTCAAAATACTATGGATTTTCTACCCCAGGAATCGATTACCTTAGCTGTATTTGGCAGACCTTTCGGAATTTAAGGTCCTCATTGCTTTTCAACTTCGTACTTCATTGGACCTTTTTAACTTTTTTGATTCGAGCGTCACTGATGAGTCTTTTGTAGACGAAACACACGTCTAGCGTACATTTTGTTTTTAGCCTGGTATCTATGATGAGTTTAATATATTGACCAAAAGCACGACACTCTAACGTTTTCCCCTTACATGACACTGTGTCTTATCTATTTATCATTATATGTATACATGTAGCAATTTTCTATTTATATTTAGAAAATCAACAATCCGTCATTTGTGTATGTATGTTCCTTATTATTTACTTTAATAGTTTTCATTTGACTGAAATATTTTTCAACTCAGATGAGTTAATAGTTACTAGTATTAAGAGGGTTTTAAAATCAAGCCACTGATCTGCTTGATGGAAGTACCGTACTTTTTATACATAGATAAAGGCAATAGTTGTTTACCGCTGTTCAATAGTCATAAATCGATTTGACTGAAACAAATCAGGGTCACAAACCAAAACTAAGGGAAACACATCAACTATAAGAGGAAACAAAACGGAACAACAGAAACACTGAACTGCTACAAAAACAAACACCAACATACATAAAAACGGACTATATGATAACAATTGCCATATTCCTGACTTGGTACAGGACATTTTAAGAAAAAATGGTGGGTTGAACCTGGTTTTATGGCTACCCAAACCTCCCGCTTATATAGCAATGTTAAAAATACCGCTAAAATGACAACATTACGTGACAGGAATAAAGTACAAATAAATGCAAGAACATTCAGGACAGAGAAATACATAAATAAAAAATATAATAGTCTATTTCAACATGTAAACCACAGAATAACAACGAACACCTAACATTGATTTACGACAGAACACAAATACAGCACAATAAAATAATGAAATGTGCGTCACATGAATGTATCAACGCCACAAAAAGTGACGTCACAGGTAAATTTCTAAAAATAAAATAGGAAATTGGGATTAAGTTTGTAATGGTATTATTTGATCTATTTTCTAACCATTACAACAATATTAATATAGAATTGTGTTAGTAATGGTGTAATTATTTATATTTTATAACCATGGTTTTTCTTCTAAATCCAACTGTGAAAAACAAATGAATCCTGTGCATATAGTTGCTTTTAACCTAAAAATAATATAAATGAACTAAGTGATTAATATCTTTACTTTTACATACATAAAGAAAAATAGAAATAGAATTAAAACCACAAACGATAAGACATAACACAACATCCAACCACAATTACAAATGGAACATCATAACTAAATACACGAATGTTGGATGTACAAATACCGAGACACGTCTAATAGCAATGCGAATTTACACTTAGCAAAACAGTGATATTCGGGAATAGGTCACGTTCGTTACTTAGAAGACCAGACGACGTAGATGGTAAACCACAATCTAAGACGTGGTAAAAATGTCGTTAGTTAGTTAAGACACAGACACGTCGTATAGATCAACCAATTCGTGATGGTGTCCATAAAATTTACGGAGTGTCATTTTTAATCTTTCCTCCTCATAACTCTGTTGGAGCAGTTTCTGCATAAGGAGCACGCTTCTGTATATGAAGTCCGTATAGTGTGAACATGCACAAACATAACGTATCAAATGAAATATGTAAACACCATACGATGGGGCAGAGGGTATGTTACTGCTGAGAAATGGGAAATTCATAATATCGTCCCGTTTGTCATAGATTTTAGTGTGAAGTCGTCCATCTGTGTCAATATTGAGTAAAAGATCAAGGTATGAAGCAGTCCTCCTCGTATCAGTAGTATCCTTAATTTCAAGTTCACTGGGATATATGAGATGTAAGTACTGGCTGAAATACAGGTTATTCAGT